CCCTCCTGGACTCTGTTATAATATTTGTAGAGATTGTTTATTGACAGGAAAACTTCCGCCGAGCAAGCTGGGGGTGTTGGCACGTGTCTGTGTTCAGAAGGAGTAAGCGGGTTGCGTCCAGTGCCGTTTCCAAAGATTTGAAAAGGGAGTAATGTACTTAACATTTAAGAGTTCAAGCAGTACATCTCACTTCTAGTAAAAGGTTTTATAAGACTTCAGAGCATTTTTTAAAATATATCCAACAAATATCATATACTTCAAGGGCTATTACCTAGAAATAATATTAAAGCATTTAATTCTTTATGCTGCTGCTTCATTGTACGACGATTTTTTTTTTATTTCTTTGCTTTTTCTGATTCAGCTACAAGACATCAGCCTAAAAAATCACTCTCTGCAACTACTTTGGAATATACAGTAGCTCTATAAAAAAAAATAAAAATTGAAGTACAGTGTAATGTCTGTCATGAAAAAGATTTATGCCGCAAAGAGCTGATTCCGGGGGGCTTAAACTATTTTCTTGATGAAGTGCTTTCAAAAAACATTTATTACGGTGTCCGTATTTCTGTGACTTCATATTTTCCGTCCTGGACTCTGTTATAATATTTGTAGAGATTGTTTATTGACAGGAAAACTTCCGCCGAGCAAGCTGGGGGTGTTGGCACGTGTCTGTGTTCAGAAGGAGTAAGCGGGTTGCGTCCAGTGCCGTTTCCAAAGATTTGAAAAGGGAGTAATGTACTTAACATTTAAGAGTTCAAGCAGTACATCTCACTTCTAGTAAAAGGTTTTATAAGACTTCAGAGCATTTTTTAAAATATATCCAACAAATATCATATACTTCAAGGGCTATTACCTAGAAATAATATTAAAGCATTTAATTCTTTATGCTGCTGCTTCATTGTACAACGATTTTTTTTTATTTCTTTGCTTTTTCTGATTCAGCTACAAGACATCAGCCTAAATAATCACTCTCTGCAACTACTTTGGAATATACAGTAGCTCCTCTATAAAAAAAAATAAAAATTGAAGTACAGCGTAATGTCTGTCATGAAAAAGATTTATGCCGCAAAGAGCTGATTCCGGGGGGTAACTGGTTTGGTAAAAGCATTTGCATGCATAAGTTACTGCAGCGATGCACCGCACGGATCAGACACCAAAGAAATTAAATCTGGACTGAGAAAAGAACAGAGGTCAAAAAATGATGGCGTGCCGCGGGCTGCGGTCATGTAACGCGCAACTGAGAAGAAAGAACCGCAGGGAACAATTGTAAACTGATGTCGCGTTTGAGGATCTTGCATTAGCGCGTCTCATTAGCGATTCGGTGTTATTTTCAGTTCTCCGAGAGTCTTCCTTTAAAACGCAACGTGGCTACCATACTATAAACAAAAAAAAATCCTTGTATTTTATAGTACATTAACTGTCAAATATAGGCCGTATTACAGTTGAAATAAATTTTCAAATACGCAACATTATTCTTTGTGAGACCCTGTGTTTCGTAGCAAAAAGAAACTGATCCAACTCACTTTTCCTTTGGCTACAGGATTTTATTAACATTTTAACAGTTTTGTTTTACATAATAAATAAGCAAAAATGCTTTACATTTTTAGGGAATACATATATAATTCTGAGCATTAATAGGTTGTTTGTTTTGCGTGCTTTTTCACCTACGTTTGCCAAATAGCTTTTATCTGCATCATATAAAAAAAGCGAAATCTAATGTTCAGGAAAAAAATGGAATAATAAGATTTTCTCTGTGTTGCTTTGGAAGTATGACTGAGACGCTGAAAAAATACTTGGTGTCCTGTTTTGTGATTTTTAGAGAAATACTGGTATTCTGGCAGGTTTCCCATTCATTTGCACTTTCTCTCAGTGATGGGTTCTCCGGTTTTACATCTATTGTCCGCTGTGCTTAATTTCATTAAATTGCGTTAATCCCCTTGTTCAAATTACAGGGCTACTGCGACCCGGAGAGAAGGCTGTTCCCTTCTCCCCTTATCTACGTCGCGGCGTTTCTATTAATAGGATAAAAACTTTGAGACCTCGACATGGGATTAACGTTTCCAACTCCACATTGTGGTAAAATACTCCCTCTCTCACGCTCTTTCTCCCTCTCATTTCTCCGCATCGTTTACTCGCTAGATCTGAACTCCCCTAAGAGTTAAAACCCTATCAAGTCGCACGGCAAAGGTATCTGTAGTGGCTCAAACAAGTACGGTAGAGAGAAAGGAGGTTATTTTTCAGAATATATTCCAATTCACACTCCGCTCCCGTGGCGTAACTTTTTCCAGTGAAGAACAACATTGCCACTGCCGATGGCTGTGCCCCGTTCTGCAGTAGGAGCGTGCGATGAACATCTGCCGTTTAACTGACCGAAAGGCCTGTTTTTCTCTCAGTATAGTTTACTCACCTTCCGGATGTGAACAGGCAATTGCCGTTTCGGTTTTGGAATGGCAGGAAAAACGTTTCACGCATTTGCTTTTTTAATCGCAGGTCCTTTCTAAAACCTACCTTGTATTATCGTATGTGAATGCGTAATTGACTCATTATTGCCTAGCCGGGGAGGCTCCCGTACCTGAATATCACATACAGCAAAACATCTGTGGGAGAACGATGGAACACCTCCTCCGCTCAGGCTCCTTGCATAAAGCCTGGAAGTGTGAATAACAAGGTGGACGCTGGAAAAATACGTTGTGGTGTTCTACTGAAAAATATCAGTGGCGTTTTTTAACCGAAGCCCAATTTGCACGTTCCTGAAAACGTGGTTTTGTAGTACTTACAAGAACAGAAGAACACACCAGATTGACTTTGCGTGCAGCAATGGCACTGATGAGGTATAGAGAAAAGTGTCGTATGAGGGTTGTGCATCGGGTTTCTTTTTCACGGTGCCAGCAATGTCAGTTACTCCGTTACAGGGCATGGTTTTAATTTAACAAAATTGACATACAAGTCCTAGCATAATTGTATCTTTTAAGGCGTTGGGCCCGTTCATTAGTAACACTGGCTGGGAAGGCTATTAACCCAAGCCACTGTAAAACCAACTTGTGCCTCATCGCTTCAATTTAGAAAGCCAGAATGACAATAATACTCGCTCGTAGCATTTCTGTAGACTTGCTGACGTCTCTGGCGTGAGACGAACCACGGAGCGCGGTTACACTGAGTGAGTGAATGTGCTGGTTTGGTTCTGCTTTTTTTTTTTTAAGTCAGCGTTCTGGCAATGGCTGATTAGGTATTTTTTGTCGTATTTATCACGAAGGGTATTTTTCGTGCTTTTTTGGCAAATGAAAAAGTCAGACAGCTGCGAGCTTCCAAGTGAAGATCAATTTAACTTCGTAATAAAGCTGCCTCTGTTAACTTTTTAATAGGAAGCAATAAAAATACTGAAAATTGTTTTCAAACACGTTTTAAAATACTTTTGTGTACTCACGGCAATAAATATTCATACATACCAGGAGGTGACTGAATATTATTGCTGCATATAAAAGACGGGGAACATGTAATTTTTGAAAGTGTGTATTTCATTACATTTTCATCTGACAAGGTGCAGTCCACGAGCAAGTGTTTTTCCATATTGCACAAGCCAGGTAAGCATTTTCTTCAGCGAAGGTCTCTTGAGAGAGAGTCTGATGAGAGAGAGAAAGTTTTAAAAGTGTAAATTAGCTGTGAATTGGGCTAAGAAATACAGCTAAGTATAGCTGACTCAAATCTGCAACAACCTTTGTTGCTGGTTTTCACAGCTGTTGTTTAGGGAGTCATTCATCGTTTTATCAAGAGCACGTGATGTTTGGGGGAGTGGTCGAGAGACAAAGTGGACTGACTGTTGTCAATTAAACACACACAGATCCGTATGTCTCCTCGCTTGTAAACTTTACAAAGAAGTAAAAAAAGGGGGGGAAATCTCTTCCTACCAGGCTGGACGAAATGTAAATGTGTGCTGTATGCTTTTTGCTTGCTGCCGTTCATTAGCGCAAACCGAGATGTGCGCAAAGCGTTCCGTTCCAAACCCCGACGTCCTCAAACTCCGCTTTACTTCAAGTGCAACTTTGGGTTGTGTGGTTGCGCAACGACTTTCGACTTTCCGTTTTCGGATTGTCCACTGACATTATTTGTGGAGTGCACGAATCAGTCAGATATGACTCTTACCTTTGTGCTGACAATGAGATTTATGCTCAAGGAAGTTCAGTGTGTTAAAAGCTGAACCTTTCAAACTTCAGAAGGCTACTGGTAAGTTTAAAATAAAGCATAAATGTTCACTGTTCCCTTGACTATAACAAAGACATTTCTGGTGCTCTTATTAAGATGTATTTTTGACTAGCTGGTTTGAAAATCTGCACAGCCTTCTCCCAGAATACTGAGTGAAACACGCGCTTCAGAAGTTCCTTTTTCTTATTACAACATATTATGGGGAATAGTCTCTAGTTCCTGCTACGTGATTTGTCCCGATTTGCCATGACAAGACCTGTAACCCTTTAATACTTATCTTTGTATGTATTAATTTGTCATGTCGTTCCTTGCCAAGATAAATGGCGGTGGTAACCATCTCAGAGCACTGAAATCTATGTTAAGTAGATCAAATTTAGATTTGATTTATTTAGTTTAAAAACTTTTGGGTAATTAATAAATACGCTTTTTCCAAACTGAGTTCTGTTTAGTTAGTACAGCTGTATTATGGATACTAAAAATCACCACTCTTTAAACAAAGTTCATCTGTCGGGATGTTTAACGCCTGAGTGGAGAGCTGATGGAAGGTTTCACACAGTTTGTCAAAAATACCTAAACTAGAGTGTATAGTTCATGATAATGATAAAAAAATCTTGCATGTATTTTGAGAAGGAGGGGTTAAGGAAAAAAAAGTTCTTCATATAAATCTCTGCATATAACACCTATCATTTAATTTTGTTGCACACTAGAAAATAACAAAAATAAGATCTGTAACACGTCTTCTCACTGGCACCAGAGCTCAACCTGTGACAACAAAGCACTGAAGCTAGATGTAGGTTTTTTTCCTGACCTTGAAGGTACTGTTACACGTGGCTTGCCAGGAACACACCAGTCTGTCCCTCATTGACTTTCAGCTATGCTCAGTAAATGTAACCGTGTTTTCTCATGCTTTTTGCAAATCATTAGTTTGGTTTCTTAATTAAATGTAAATACCCCTCTACTACCGTCACCTTCCATTGGCTATTATTACAGAAGTTCCAATATAATGGGGTAGTGCAGATTCCTTGTGGGTTTCTGGAGAAGCTGATGAGGGGCTTTGGTTTTTGTAAATAAATGTATTTACTTCCTCGGAATTGTATCCATAATTTTCTCCTACGTGTCCTGTCGCTGTACATGATGAAGTTTGAAATGTACCATGTTTGGCTAAAACATGGTGATAATTTAGAAGCACAAATGGAACTTGTCCGGAGGGTCTCACGTCCATCACACGTTCGCTTTCGGAGTCATGATCGAGCTTTACGGTCATTCTCTCATCGCTGTCCAGTTCATCTAGATTTGTAGCGTGGTGACTAATATGCCCGTATTTGGGTTCTTTCATACAAATCCTTCTTGTTTGCTCATATACTGAGGGCATCGGCAGGAGATGACTCAATTGTCCTATAGCTTTAGACTGGAAACACTCTGATTTTGGCAGCAAGGAGTTAGCTATTGAGTTTGAAAAAGAACTTTCATTAATGCTCATCTTTTCTTGTAGGTCTCTGTTAAAAGCTAACTTGTTTTCTTCTTTAATGAGGTGGTGAGGTGGCTGAATCCTGGTTTCTATTTTGTTGGGTTTCATGATGCCGGAATCATAGATCTCTTCTTTGTATCTGCTGCCTGGCATGGGCGCTGTGCAGCTTGTAAAGTTGTCAGATAGAGCGTCTTGGCTGTATCTTCTGTTTGATATGGGCACTTGCAGGAAAGAGAAAACAGGTTAATTACTGACAGTGAGTTCATAGAGTCAGACTCTAAGACTTTTTGTGACTGAACTTTAATACCCATTTGGTCTGGGCCCGATCCAAGTCCCAGTGAAGACATCAGAGACATTCCCATTTGCCTCAGTGGCTTTGGATAACTCTCTTTAAGACAGTGCTGAAAAGTGGAAAAAAAACCCAAACCAACCCATTCAGAAGGGCCGACAGCGTCGAACAATTCTGAAAAGGTTTTCCGTGTGAAATGCCCGTTTGTTTATTTGACTGAATGATGATAAATCACTGTCACTATTAATATGGTTACATCGGGGAAATTAAACCAAAGAAGTATTTGGAAATGTGACCCGCTATCAAAAACCTTGACCTTAAGTAAGCTCTTTTCAGAGATTTATCAAACGGTTTACCAAAGGATGGATAACATTTATTACACGTCAATGATTCAATGATTAGAGTAAACCAGAATTTATTCTTCCTGTCACTGTGGAAGTGTATTGGACACTTGCCCTTGTAAGGAAAGAAGAGGGTGTGTAGTATTAGATACCGACGTGTCAGTATCTAATTCGCGATATCTATCTGTGATATATGTCATATCTAGCTTGTGTCATGTTAAAGGCTTTGCTTTTTCTCTTTTTTGAAAAAACTAGCATCAGATATTAAAAACATCTTTTGAGAAGCATCATAAATACTTCTTGACTAATGCTGTATCTCTGCTTTTAAGGTACTATCACATAATAAAGCTATACGTACAATATAAATGTAATTTACAACATACACTGAGGATGTTTGTTTGAATGTGGGAGTACTAAACTGGGTATGCATGGAAAATCAGAAGCTAGATTCTTAAATTTTCAAGAGAGTATGAACCTAGGATTTCTATTCAGGCTTTTCCTCTAAAATATATTGAGTAATCTTAGTTTTCTCTTAAGTTTCTGCATGGTGGCTGAACTCTTGAAACAATTTGAATTGTTCTTAACATTTTCTGCTTGGCTTACGCAGCTTTTCCTTTTTGTACGCACCTATCTACAAATGGTAAGAGAAAAAGCCACTCGTTTACTCCTACACAGTATGGCCAAAATAAGGCAAGTACTTATTTTTTTGCACTGTCTTGTATGAACGGTTTGACAGTTATACTGCTCCTCCAAGGCATATTTGAAACTTTTATGTTAAAGGTTAAATGAGGCACTTAGCAAATGTCTCAGATTAAACCTAAACTCTATTTTGTGTTATGCTCACTGAAAGCCCTGGACACCTAAGTGCCTTTTGTAAACGGGATTTTCTGTTTTTCTAAAGATTTCATTCAACATCTTAAAAGTTTTGGAGTTCCCCTGTAGTGGTTGCTGATGTAACTGTACCCACTAATAATTAAATATTCCCTGTGCTATAGTCGACTGGCAAAGCCTTCATGTATAACAGAGGAAGCAGAAATAGCTCAATTGTACCTTTTTTTTGCATGTAGAGCTTCATTAATTTCAGAGGGAGTTGCACCACGTAATTAACACCAGCATTTAAACAGGAATCTGGATCCAATTTCTTCTTGATCAACCCACCACCCTCCTAGAAACAACAACCTTTCAAGTTACTCTTTTTCATTTCCGTGTATATATTTTGTACCAAGAAGTATATGCAGTCCTAAGTAAGCTGGATTCTCATCACCTGTTGAAAAACGGCCCTCTTGGATGACAAAGCAAAACAGGGATTCAGGCACATGCTTGAGTATAACTTGGAAATTTTACCAGTGTAATTATACTACTATAATTTTAACTCCACGTTTGGCGTTTTTACTATGAAATAAGTGTATGTGCTGAGAGCGACTGACATGTAACTAATCTGGGTTTAACTAATCTGGTGTACTGGTTTTAGTGTTTTTCCCACTTGAGACATCCACAGGAGCGGTGGGTTTGTTCTCTTACTGCAGCATGGAGCATTGTTACTTCATGGCTCTACTCTGATCTCTGAAGAAAAGATTGTCCTTTTCCATTTTTAGAGCCCACGCTTGTAAGAAGCTGAAGCGTCACAGCAAGCGGTTGGCCCCTGTCCTGTTACCTTCATTTTTGTAATCTCAAATTCTGCTGGGCTGATGGCTGCCGCCTTGGTACCAAGAAGTAATTTGCATACTTGGGAGATTTACAGGGTATTATCCATTTTGTTCTATCCTGTTTCTCAAACACGGTTTTCATCTCTTTTGTTGAGGAAGAAGGTAAGCGTCTGCTAATTGTTTGCAGGCTTCCATTAAAGTTGTCAGCACGTTTGTGGAGTTAGACCAGACAGTTAAGCAAGTCGTGTCTGCGGCGCAACAGAGCACAGTCGTTTTTGTCCGCTCACATTCAGAACAGTTACTGGAGCTAGACTTAAATCTGCTTTTGTCTTCCTTTGCAGACAAAAACCCAAGGGCACCCTGGGACAGACTCCTCCTGGGGAGTTTTTCATACAGAAGTTAATAGAAAGCTGACCAGCTGCTTTGTATTGCTGTAGAAGGGCAGCGCCCCAGGATTGCTTCCCCCCATCCGGCGTGTGGGCAGTTGCCAGAGTACCTGCCTCAGCAGGTGCACGGGGATCCCACGCATTCTGCGCTTCTCCAGCGCTGGAAACGCTTTACAGTCGTTGAAGTCAGTGCATTAATTGGGGATGCTTTCCGGACCACTTTTCTGCCAGAGCAACTCAGCTATGCCAAGTGAGGTAGATAACACTGCCCATCTAAGGTTGTATGCCATACCAGAGTGATAGCAGCTTTCTAGAAGGCCCGTTACGCTTACTTACACTGCCTCCATTCATAGCAGCCTACAACTGCAGTCTACAACTGCAGCCTACAACTGCAGTGCCTGATAGGGCATCACGTCTCTCTTAATTCTTGCCAAGTAGCTCTGCTTTCCCGCTGATGCACAGGGTGCAGCTCGGGCAAACTGAGGGAAAACCTGGAGATAAGAGCCCCACCACCCGGCAGCCTGCTCAGATTTCAGCATCCAACCATCCAAGTGGGAACAGGAAGGCTAATCTAGCAGGTATTGGTCTTTGTTTAAAACATATCGTGTCTATTCATAGTTACAGTATACTAGAGCGATCTTCCCCCCATCGAACATAGTGCTGCAGCAAGGAGCGTTCCCTCTTCACCTTTAAATAGTGCAGTCAAAGATCAGATGGTGCTCAATGGGGAAAGATGCTTGCAGAAAAGGTATTTCGTTCACAAATGTGCCTTTCTGTACCAAGTCGTTAATAGGTAGAGCTGCTCCTTGTTCTCTCATTGCCCCTGTCTATTTCAGTAAAAATGAAAGAAAGGCATCCTGGAACCAGGTTAAAGCAAAGAAAGGCTGGTGCTCGGCACTGATCTTCATGCAAAAGGTACGCAGTCCTTATCAGCCCAGTTTTGGATCCTGTCTGTAAAAAACCTTGCCTGTTTTTAGCACGCAGCTGAGGCCCTCTTCATGCATGCTTTGTCTTGCATAATTTTTCTTGGGCTTTCTGATCTACACTAATCTCAGAAGAGTGTACTCCTGACAGTTACTGTATGTTTTGAAAAGACAATATGCCAACACTTGAATGTTGACACGTAGCCCATGACGCTTCAGTACGTTTCCTAATCCTTTGTACAGAGGGCCTTCAGAGAAGACAAGCGATTAACTCAATCGCTCTGGGTTTTGCTGAAGCCCAACGAGCAGAGCTGCTGTACTGCTCAGGTCACGCGCTCCTGTGTCACAAAGGCATGCTGATATCCCCCCGTGTCAAACAAGGCAAAGATACAACAGATCTTAATACTGTCCATGCCCATGAAAAAGACATTTTTTAGATCAGCTCAATATCTGTGCTGTGTCCTGGTCTGAACCCTAATTGCAACTCATCTGAGGCATGGGCTGATGTTGTAGTTACTATGTTCTCCATTATTCTCCCTCCAAAAAAAATAGGAAGACAACGTGATCTTCAAGACCTCTTTGACTTTAGCAGAATACACTTTTCAAGAAAGATGTCATGTATTTCTTCCAGTAGTCACAGGCTAAACCTGTGGAGTTGGTTTGGGGGAGGAAGATAGACCAGAGCTTTTTCACAGATTTTCTTAGTATTCTTCATCATTTCCTGAGTTTTGGCATGATTAGTGGCACTAAGGTTCACACAGATAGTACAGACTGGCCAACAGCATAACTTAATGAGAAGTAGGTACTGTGGTACCCGCAGTAGTAATGCATCCATTCAAGTGTACAAAGGAAACTTCCCTGACTAAGAATATGGTTCCCTTCTCTGAAGTGAGTTTCTCTTCTGATGACTAGGCCAGCTGGAAAAAAATGGAAGAAGCTTCGAAACCAGATTCTGAGGCAGCAGCATCTGATTTGCAGGCAGTTTTATCTGCTACGTGCTTTCCCAGAGCTTTGATGGCTTGGCATGATCATCTTAAAATCTCTGATCTCTCCAAAAGAAGCTATTTTCCATAGAGAAAAATGTCTCTGGCCTACGGCATTTTTGGCAGACGCTTCTATGGATGTGATGCGGAATAGCCCTCGCATCCAACCCGGTTGCCAGATGTCATATTTGGCATTGCCTTTGGATTGAAGATAATGACGCTAAGCAGATCCTCTCCGCTTTGAAGCTTACTGGCTGTCAGTTTTTTAGTGAAGTGCTGGAAAAAGCAGCAGTTGACAGTGTAAGGAAGATCAGATGCCCCTTTCAATTCAAAGCAAAAAGTTGCTTCCAAAGGTTCAGATTTCCCTTTTGCCACCAGCCTCAGCAAAAGCACAACAGGGCTGATTCTACCTCAGGAGGAAACAAACTCTGGAACAATTAGATATAAATCCTTTTTGCAGTGGAGGCTCCGTTTTTCTTTCCCCTCTTTTAACACTGTGTGTGGACCCAAGCAACGATCCCTGACCAAGCCCGAGTTTGACCATATTCTTTTTTCCTTCCTAAATAGTACAATTGTAAGTGCTTTTGCAGAGAATTAATTGTACCAAGTCAGTTTTCGTCAAATGCCCAATAGCTAAACATCTATTAAAATACATCTGTGCTCAAAAGAGAACCCACATATTCCAACTGAAGCAACAAAATCTTAAGTAGAAGTAGAACCAGAAGTAAGGACCGCTGGTATCACAGCTCCATTTTCCTGTTCATGAGGAAATGGTGAAGGTATGCATGCATGATGAAACTGAAAAATACCAGCAGTTGGTTGCAGTTTTTTGTTGGGATTTTTTTTCCCCTAAGATATTTAGCAGTATTCCTGTGGAATCCTTCTGACTTAATATAGTTACTAGGAGTTATCTGCCCATATCAACCGACCGATGGTAAATTGCTTGTCTGCCGCTATGCTCACTGGGCTTTTCTGGCAAATGTTATGGCCACGATCAATTTTACAGACTGTTCTCTGAACAGGCTGTTCTTTCCACATCCATTCTCAGTGTATCTGATGGCACCCTCTGACCAGCAAGGGGTGGATCTACCTTCTCGGTCAGTCTCACGGCATCTGTTAGTCTGGCAGCAGAGAAGAAAAGCTGGGCTGACTTCTGTACACCTAGAATAGCTTTGTTCCTGCAGACTTACTGGGGATCTGCAGGATTTACTTCTATCCTTATACTTATCCTCAAAAGATGTAGCTTTTTTTTTTCTTTTCCACAAAGATACAGCATCTTTAGAAAGGACAAAACCATTTCTTATTTTTGGTCTAAAGCTGCTCCTTTTCACACCCAGTCCACAACAGCAACAAAAGGAAGCCAGCACATTAGAGGAGCATGAGCTCAGAAAAAGCATTTAACCTGCACTTGGCTGTAAGAAGAGCTTCAGTCTTGCTCATTTTCAACCTAAACACAGAACAGTAAAATAAAATGCTTAGGTCAGCTAGGTGAGGTCCATCAGCTAGGTGAGGTCAAACGGTCCTGTGAAGGACAAAACCCTGGGCAGAAGTTACTTGCTCCTCTGTGGAAGACACATTCAATGTCTGATACCATCTTCTGTCTGACGTAGCAAGCTCAGCTTTTAACATCTGCAGGTATTCCCGTCGGAACTAGGATATCTAAAGTCATGCGCCCAAGTGAATAAATGCTTGTTTCTGGTACTCAGGAATCTTGAGCCTATCTTTTCTAGCTTTTTTATTTTAAATTTCCACTACTGCTTCCTCCCTCCCATCCTTAATGAAGCTAGAAGAAAGGAATGTTTCCATCTAACTTTATAGCAGTATGTCAACCAGTCAGTCCTCATCAGTGATTTTTAACTAATCAAAATGGTGTATGCAGATAGATGTAATGCATATGAGATCTAAGGATTACAGTGTGTCTTGAGCTTGTTTACATTTAGTTTATAGTTTTGCAAGGTTATTTCTTATAGGTTGCCACCTCAGAGAAGTCAGTGTCTTCAGTGCTTCCTTCAAAGTGTTTGAGCTGACCATCTGTATAGAGAGATGATGCCGTTGATTGGGGAGGAGCACTGAAGACGTTTTTAAATAAAGCAGAAGACAGTGCATTTCATTTACTCATTCACTGTAAGGTATAGACATTCAGAATGGCTTCATACTCAGAAAGGGCAACCTTCAATTTTTGTGGAAATAGATCATGTTTATTTTAATTTCTGTATCTGAGCTGAAGTACCTTTGTTTCTTTCTGACTTCAGCAATGACTTACCTGAGGAATTCCACTAAATAACTCAGTGCAAAACACGAAGGTAAACTGTGCCGGTATTAAAGGAGGTGGTATCTCTGCCCTCTTCTAAAAGTGATTCTGGTGAATACATTTTTGCAACTGATGCTTTGATAATATTCCTAATCAAGAGCTTATGGTAATGGGAAGAGGGACGAACATGTAAATACTATAAACATAGGGGTTGTTACACTTCACTGTTTCTGATTTTCTGTTTCCTAAACGCCTTGTAATTCCTGTTTTCAAACTACAATTACAAATCTTTCCCAGACACCCCACAGCTTTGCTTTTCTTTTTTTCTTTTTTTAAAGTGACACCCACCTTCATAACTCTGTGCAAGATTATGTCGGATGATGTTCACTGGCTGATCAGGAAGATTTTTGGATGGTGACTGGCTGCTGGGTACCAAGGAGTTGGCATAATGCCACTGGCATTCTCCATTTGTCTGCAACGTACTCAAGAAAAATCGAGCCACTTCACAAGGTGCTCCTTGAGACTGCCCAAACTTTGAAGGCAGCATTTGCTTTTTGCTACTGAAGACATGAGAATCTACAGGGAAGTGTCCATAATGGTAGGAGAAAGGCAAGCTATATGACGGGGCGTATAACAGTTCACTGTTTTCTGAATGGAAGTTTTGTTCTTGAATGGTGGCAGCGTTCACTGCAGGGCTGGATCGCCAGTTTCCCACCTGGCTGCATTCCAGTTTGTCTGTTTGGAATGAGCTGTATTGCTGGGGGAAAGAAAAAAAAAAAGGGAGGGGAAGAGAGTTAAATGACTAACTTGTATATGAAACTGCATAACATATCATACAGGAGCCCAAAGCTGGACCTCCTTGAACTGCGATCTCGCTGGCTAAAGGGACTGGCTTACCAGTGCTCTTAAAGTTCCTCGTCTCCACGATAACTTTACCTTCACTTAACATGCGAACAAAAAACTAATGTTAAGGGGTTATTTGATAATTTTGCCTGTTGGATTTTAGCTAGTAAGTGTAGGCAGTTGTAAACACCAGAGGACAAAAGGTTGTTGCAAAGCACTGGAAGTCACTGATAAATGGAGTAGCAGACCATGAATATGATTTTGCGTATGTTGGCATGTCCAGCTTTAGAATGGTAGGAACACAAAATCTGTCCTTCGCATCAGCTTCTATCACAATGATTTTCTCTTCCCACTCTCTCCCACCCTCCTCTCCAGGCTCCAAATGCTTTTTGGGCTCTCACTGTTTTGAAGGCTAGCTGCATTCACTGCTGTTTTAAGGTAATAGTAGCCCCTTCCAGCAATATTCATTGCAAATCTCAGAATGTCTCATGGTGGGTGTCAGTCTCACCAGCCCGGTTTTATGGACAATCTCCATAGTTTCCTTTCACGACTGGTTCTAGCTCACCCAGTGACAGTGAGAGACATTCCAAGTCCCGCTCCAGTGCTCTGTTTGCTAGGATTAATTCTTATGATGCATTCTCCAGCATAAGGAAACTGCTAATACCTATGTGACATTAAGAACTCTGCATATCAACAGTGAATGAGATGTGTTCTACACCAGTGCAAATTTTCACAACACAGCTATTCTTAGTACATGTTTTTCTTCTTTTTACCAAGAAAGCACATTGGTTTTGAGGTACTTTACAGACTCCAAATCCAAAAGTTTTTGTGTTCGCATCACTCACCAGAGCTGGTTTCTACTACCTGTGCTGTCCACCCCAAGAACAAAAAGGTCTAATTGTATTCCGGCCTACAAGGGAGCTCCTGTGGCAGAGCATACTATAGTCAGTTTTACAGTAAGTTCAGTTCTGGATGATCTCCTGTCCCAAGCACTCTACCACAACAATTGGTAAGTAAATATTGCTGAAAAAGTTACCTGTTGTGGGTAAGGCGTTGTTCTGAGTTTTGCTTTCATTTTATTACTTTTGGGTTTTACAATTTTCCTTGTTTCCTGCGAGGTAGATACTGAGCTTCTGCATGAAAACTGTGACTTAGAAATGGTAACCTGGTCCAGTGACAACTGAAGTTCCTTATATTCGATATCTCTGCAAAAGAACAGTCCAATGAATTACATACTCAAACATACCATACAAATCCAAAATAGCTCCTTTGAAAATACATGTTAGCTTTCACAATGTTTTCATTTTCATTCTTCCAAGATTTTCACGGCCTCTGCAGTGTGAGTCTGGGGATGTCAGCAGGCAGGGGATTTTATGGTCTGACCCCACCCCCACGCAAGTCTATCACAAACGTTCCACTGGGAACCACATTAACATCTTTGTACTAAATGTGCCCGTTCTCTGAACCGAAGCGGTGCCAACTTCTTCTCAGCCATCCGTGGCACCCTGCAGTTTGGAATCACAGCCGTGTCAGCTGATAGAAAGACACAGCTCAATTCATCTGCCTCCTCCTCAATCAGGAACTGGTCTCTGCCCTGGCTCTCACAATTAGCCCCGAGGAAAGGAAAAGGAGTGATGTTCCTCTCCTGTCACTGCAATGTGCTTGTAACTAGACCACAGGAGCTGCGATGTTGTTTTTCTGACAATCTCTAGACTTTCATTTCTGCTCTGTTCTGTTCAGTTTTATCTGCCCCACAGACAGGGCGGATTTTTGTATAAAAGAGGCTAAAAAACAAATTAAGAACAGACTGTGGATCATATTTTGAAACATTAATTGATACAGTTCTGATGATTAAATGGTCTCCCCTGGTTTTATCAGTAGCAACAGTGGAGCATATTTTTGAAAGGATAACTAGAAAAAAAACCCTACTTCTCTCTCAATTCCTATCTAGAACTCATTTCCATCACTTCTTGATGGTGAATAACCTGGAAGTAAATTCAATTCAAGTATGCTGTTATATCCCTGGCACAGTTTCCCCCTTTTTACTCAAATCACTTGCCCCAACTCATGGGACTCAAGGAGGTTGCAGGGCTGAGTCTCCCTCATGCTGCTGGCTCTCACGTCTGTACAGGAATGAGGGCAGCATTAGCCAGTGTGTCTACGGCCGAGTACCTACTTCGAGTAGTTTAAGGAAACACCCTGTGGTTTCTCAACTCATGGACCTGAACTCCCCAAAGTCAGGTATCAGAGACAACATTGTAATACGCAAACACATGATCCTACCACACACATCATGCAAATACATCTTACTTTCAAGCCAGATAAGAAATGGACCAGTCTAGACAAAAGAAGAGAGTATCTAGTTCCCTGCTTTTTTATACTATTCAACACAAGAGGTGCCCACTATCCCTTTTTTTTCTCTTCCGCCACAGTCTCTTCAGTCACAGTCTGTTTCACTATTACTTATCCCTCTTATTCAATACAGATTTCTGTCTCTCTCAGGTTTATATCAAGATAGGAATTTTGTAACTCCTTCATGACTTGAACCAGAATTCATAAACTGCAGGTCCAAACCGCTGTACATTCACCAGCTCAGTGGGAGCTACTTGCCATTGTAAGAATGTAGTTTTGCCCTGAGTATCTGTGCAACCCAAGGCAAGTGAGGGAATCCTCGGTGATTCACCTGTCCCTGAAAGGAGTAATGCTTCCTACCATGTCTCTGTCTTGCAAACTGACACTGTGACCTCTGCTGGGCAGCAGTAGTTTTCACTGTGTCTGGACAGCCTCAGTGCAGTTCTGATGCTAATTACAGAACTGGGGTCCAGGTCTAACGCAAATGGCTACACGTGGTATTGCATTCAAGCATATGGTGTAGGAGGTAATCATCAGGAATACTAGCTCTTTTTAGCTGAACGTAAGTAAAAGAGGGAGGATATGGGGAGAGAAAAGTGGCTGTAACATGCGAGCACAGAATGATACTGGAAGACACGAGTAAAGCAAACTTAAAGGATTTAATTAGTAATGAGCCAATTACTGATAACACGCAAAATGAATCAATTACTGATAACACGTAATGGTACAAAGTATTTTGACTTACGTAAGGACATAATTGACACTCACTATGCAGTGAGGCCGTGATGAACGGCTGTTATGCACAATAGTAGCGTAGCTCTGTACCCAAACCCAGCCTCCATGCTTGGACAGTAGTCGATAGTACTTGGTTGTGACTTGGCCTTTCACCAACACTGTGAATACAATACAAAAAAAGCATTTCGCATTGCTTGGACTTGTGACCACTTCCTGGAGAGATTTATTTGCAAGGCAGGGACTTTTCTCCCTCCTCCCCCTCCCTTTAACCTCCTCTCCCACCAAACTTCAAACAGCTCCCCCGCAAAGGTATCTGTCCTGCCCCTTTACGTAGTTTTACAAGGTCGCATTATTGTTTACAAATAGTATGTTGCAAACTATTAAGGTTTGTCTTCCTTCTTTTCCAGTTCACCCTGCTCTCTTATGCTTACATTCTGCAAAAACACTTACTGTTTCTAATCTTCTAACTGAAAAAGAAAAGTTCAAGGCAGCAAAAGTATTTTGAAGCAGACACAACTAGCCTGAATTTTTCCAGTATATTTGGAGGCACTTTTGTCATTCATAGCTTGATAGATTGTTGTGTATTTCACAGTGTATTTTATGCTATGATGCTTTTTCCTCTGTAAGCGCTACATTTTGAAGGTTGATTTAAAAGGGGAAAATTAAAATGCTCGTTGGTTCTTAAGCACACAAATAAAGACAAGGCCAGAGAGGTGAATCAGTTATTTGACAGATTTCACTAAAAATGTAATCCTCTGTACACCAGTTTGGATTCTCTGTGAACAAAGACGTTTTGGCATAAGGCTATGCTATAATAGGAGTTGTGCAGCATCTCTAAATATTTAATCTAGCCACAAATATTTCTGGTTCAGTGCCAGGCATTTATCTAATGATTCGCTGGAAGATAATGCCCAGCCTTCAAAAGTGGTTCTTCTCTTGTGTGACCCTGGAGCATTCCTCTAGGAAACTCCATCTTCCTACTCTTCTATACAATCAGTTATTTATTTTAAATTGGGAAATAAGGGACTGAGCTTGCCACACAAACTATGTCCAAAAGAAGTGATCAATAGCAGCAACTCCTTTATATAATACACGATTAAGAAATGGCATTACTGCTTGCAAATGTAGGGCTTGTACTAGACTGAACTTTGTAGCAAAGCTCTCTGTAATTTTGTTCTCTCATTGTACACAGTTGGTGCAGAAGCAGATCCATAATAAGGAAATCGAACAACAGCTTTCTCTTTCAGCCAACTGCAGTAGAGCAAATGACCGCTTGAAATGAAAATATATGGCCTTATAATTAGTATTCATAGAGGATTCTTCTGACAGGGAGGGCATCCAATGTTAAATTGGGAACTAAAGAGTGCATAACCTTTGGGGGTTTGTTTACTGTTTGGTAATTAACTATATGGCTATCAGTCATTGCTGGGGTTGGCTTTTTTTTATTCAGTTGTTACTTGGGGGAGTAGGGGTTTGTAATTTCAATAGCAATCAGAGACCGTGATAATGTGAATAACGTGAATAGCCCAACGTAAGACTGACAGAAACAGAAAAGCAAGAGTTCTTGTCTGCTGAAAGGTCCCCTAAGTCTGTAGCATGCAGGTCATCTCTCTGGTCTGCTTACTCTCCTATCCATCTGCATGTGTTGCAACATATTTAAACTCTTCTTCAAATCCAGTTAATCTCCCTAAGAAAATCAGGCTCTTACAAAATGACTATAGACAGGTCTTTCTGGAAGTGTCAGTTCTCCTTCCATTACAGGATATGGTATCCATTTGTTCAGAAAGCAACAAGATAAACATCATCTTGCAGGACATTCAAAAACCCATGCTCACTGACACCAAGCCACTACTATTTAGAGTTTGAAGACTCTCTTAGATATCAGCTTTTTGCCTCATACTTGCTGGTGTCCTTTTTCATGCCTACATCTCTACATAGAATACTCTATGAGGTGGAGGTGTGCATGTGTACAGATATTTAAGAAAATCATGAGGAACATGTGTGTAAGTATGTAAACACACCTATGAAATATAAAGGCATGTGTACTCTTTAAGTGCAATACATCGCTCCAAGGTAAAGGTCTCGGAGCTGCTACTCAAGGCTTCAGTGTAACAATGCCAAATAAGTCTGTTGTAAAAATATTTGTTAATAATCAGCTATATGCTATGAAATCACTCTGTTTCTTGGTGTTCTATAATCCAAATGGTCCAGTTCTAGGAAATGATGCTTACATTTTAGCCTAGATCATCTAACAGATATTTTTTGCAATGTGGTCTAGGCTTTTCAGAGCTAAGTCTTCGTGCTAGTTTAATGGTCAGGTTTTCCTTGAATTCAAAATGCCTTGCTACTCGGTCTTCCGAAATAGAAATTAATGCTGTCATGGATCGCTAGCTATAACAAAGTTCTTCTGTGTGCTTTGGGACTAGTTTTGACTTTCTCTCTCTCTCTCACTGATTTTTTTTGAAATTCCTGTTTTAGCTCTCCAGTTAAGACAGTATTTTAAAAGATGTGAAAACCGCTGAGGACTACAGTGTTCAGCTTTCCTTCCTAATTATACGGATAAACCAATATTTCTCCTGGGATGGGGGAGGACTCCATGTCTCCTGCATTTTTAGCAATCTGGAGAAAGTCTGACCTTGGCTAGGGGACAGTAGCTGTGCTTCCAATACAGTAAATGAGGTCAATTTCCATTTGGCTCTGTGTTAAATTACCCTGTTTGATGCTGATTGGGAAACCTCAGAAATGGGAGTGAGGTCAATCCACTACCAAGACAATCTGGGCAGGCTCAGACTTCTTGGTGGCCTCCGCTGCAATCAAACGGGGAGGATTCGGTGGCTTTAGCCTTGGCTCTTAGATGTGCCATTTGTAACTGGGTGTTCCGCTGTTGTGGTTCCCTCCTGGTTTAGCAGGCAAGCTGAAAAAGGCACTGGGCTGGCTGGGCTGGTCCTTCTAGTCTGTCATAGATGGCTATTTTAAAAAGCTCCAGCAGGCTCACGGGCATGTGGCTGGGAGTTCCTAGCCTGCACTTAAGGATACCACTAAGAGAAATGGACTTCTTGGTTCCTCACTTGCAGCAGTTATTGTTTTAGCTTCCCTGGTGCACACAACCTGGCATGTCATCGGTCCAGCCCTTGAGCAGCGTGGTCAGTGGATGGTGCCCTAGCAGACTCTACAGTTCTTTTGCCCTCTTAAAAACTAGTGCAGCTCTGCTGGAAGGCTTGATTGCTGGGGGAGCAAAAGTAGACTCAATGCGACGGACAGAGTGTAAACTGTGCTCTGCTATAAGATAGGTTCTATAAATACATAGGTTGACTTCCAGGAAGCAGCAGAACAATTTGGTGATGACATCAGCTGGGGCTGGGGCTTGCCTTGCCAAGACACAGAGATGCAACTTTTGTAAAAGTTTATGTGGGAAGAACAATGATGTTATAACATGTGGTATGCACAAAATCCTCCTCGCAGAGAGACCATGGTACAAATGAAGTGATTTCTCTGAGGCCAGAGAAATATTTTGCCTATACTGGAACAGCAGAATATTTTGCGTGTACTGGAACAGCTTCTCTATCCTGGCTTTTAGAATGCAAGATGTCTAGGCAGGGACTCATTAATTGTGTGGCCACATTTCCCCAGTTGCAGAGCAAACACTGTGTATATTGATGGTGCTATAGAAATAAATAACACTAGTTCAAACGCCAGAAGCTTTTTCATATAGCTGGAAGCTAATCAAATGTTTAAAACAGGAAACACTGTTTGCTGCCGGCACACCTTAGGCAAATATTCACATCTACATTTTCCTCATAGTCTGATGTTCTTGTTATATCCCTTCTAACTTGTTCCCCTCACCGTTTCCTTTGTTTTGTTCTCCGTGCTGCCTAACTTAAAGTTTAGTTGCCTCAGTTTGGGAATTTTTATTTTCCTCTTTGAAAAAGCAATTGCTTACTCTAGTTTAGGGTTGCCTTTTTTTTTTCCTTTTCTTTTTTTTCTTAATACCCTTATTAGGTGTAAGATGTTTCTCTCCAGATTTCTTCATCAGATGACACTTAATCACCACATTGCTTTATAGAATGGTACGTCAAACTTGCCAACCTTTTACTGTTCATGTTCCTAAAACATTTACTGATGGATGGTGGGGGAGTTATAACAGTGCTCCCCAGAGGAAGTCTGTACACTTTACATCTGTTTTAATAATTCCTATTACTTGGTATTCTGACTGTGATTCTGCACTGTTCCCACTGTTGCCCAAGCATTAGCCATTATTTTTTGCTTCTTGGCATTTATTTGCTTTGAAACTTTCATAAATTTCTATGCATATGTCTCACATTTTTCTTCTGTTTTTAAACTTCACAATAATTTAACTTTGTAATTCAGATACGGTATCTAGAGAACTGCTGTTAGTTATTCTCTTTGGTTGAGGGTTTTTTTTCTTGTGGGAGGAGGTGGGGGGGGTGTTAATTCAGTAAACATGGTGTGTCTCTTTATTTAAAACTCCAGTCATACATAGAGCAAACTGGCAGCCAAAGTACAAGTCTTCTACTGCGCACACAGAATTATCCATCACTCTGCTCTAAAATGGAAAACTGTTTTCCAGAGATGATTGTGGCTATGATGGAATCATCTCTATACTGGTTGACATAGGTATTTCAAATAGTTTTGTGAAAATAACGAGTGATATTTTGTACAGGTCAACAGTCACATCCAGATGCAGACGTTAACGCTACAAAAAGGATGCGCCCAACAGGACATTACCATGTACCCTGGTCATTCTAGTTTTTACTTTGCAATGGTCCAGAGTATCCAGTGGTATTTTGGTAAATATGAACTTGCTGTAAAGATCAGTTTCTGCTTTCCCAGGTGTAGCACACACTGCCATCAACAGAATTCGGCACTTGGAATTTCAGTACTGACTTGCCAAATACAGTTACATCCCCCTTTTTATTCCAGATCCTCATGAACAGCACATATTAAGGTGAAGAGCTGCCTACTTTCTCCTTCAGGAAGCCTAAGAGAAGGATTTGACTCTGGCTGCTTTCAGCCCACAGGAGCAATCTGGAAAAAAATTGACTGACGTTGGTTTTTGGATGTCATCTTTGCATCGTATGGGCTGCAGCAGACTGAGCCAAATCCAGAGTTCAGCTATTCCCTCAATTTGCTTCTCAAATTAATGTGCTACTGAATGAACTACTTCCCAAATCCAGATGTTTGAAGATATGATTAGCGTCTCTGTCAGCAGATGGGGAATTATTAAATGTGTAATTTTTTTTCCTGACACTCCATTCTCCAAACCTCATCCACATGCTATTAATGAACATTCATCTAAGGATTTTTGGGTTTGCATTCACTTCAAACATGGGATGATTATTGCTAACATATTTCAGAGGAATGGGGAGCTGTTGCGTAATTTTTCTTTTAACAACAGAGGCTGGTAAAGTTCAGATTTTCCCCTCTCACTCATTCACTTTCTCTTTTGTTTTTTTTCCTTCAAGAGTTCACCACCCAGAATCAAGTCCAAATTTTCAAAAGAGCCTAGATCCTTTAAGTAGAAAGGTAAAAGTGGCCAGATATGGTTTTTTCAGAAGCACAGCATATTATCTAGCTTATTTGCAGAACTAATGGTTTCCTTAAGTGATAGCCAAGCACTTTTGAAAATCTAGCTCCAGTGAAGATTTGGAAAGCTTTCTCTACTTTCCAGCATAGCACCTGTTGTTTGCAAAACTTCTCACTCTACTTAATAAACTTCAGTCTAGCATTCTTTTTACTTACGCAGATGATGAGCATATCGTAAATGGAACACATCACAGCCATGAACATGGTGGTAGAGGGTTTTTTCTATCAGATCTTGGGGCTCATATCCAGTTAATTCAGTCACCCTGGAAAAGGAAGATTCCATAATAAGCAAAATCTCTAGGAATATTCAGTTTCATGAACCTAATATTTGATTGTGCCAACAAATCAGGTGCCTAAAAACTGCAGGACAAAATGTTAGTCTTGGAAACAGAATCCTCGTCTCTATAAGAAAATAAACACTCTCAATCCAGCCAAAGCAAGGTGCAGCTATTCCCTGGCCAGCCTTACACATAGGCAGGAAAAAGAGTTCTTTTAGTTATTTCCACTTTGGGCTTTTGCCACTGCCATGCATGATCCTTTGCACAAAGATCCAGTTGAGGAGCCATTCACGAAACAATAAAACTACTCTTGTGGACTGCTGACACATTTTCATTTGCTTTTGCAAACGTACAAGTGTAGCATGTATGTCAGTCCATAGAAGCTCTGATCATAGTCTATAACTAAATTCAGGCTAACGCCTAACAGAAGAAGGAAGCAGGAGCTTATTCCTGC